GAAAAAGCAATGAAAACACAATAGAAACGTTTCCCATGTTCGTGCATTGGGAATATTAATATTGTTAAAACATCCATACTTCCCGAATCCATCTATAGATTCAATGCATTCTCTAACAAGATTCCACCGGCTTTTTTTTTTTACAAAAGTACAAAAACCATCCTAAAATTTATATGGAACCTCAAAGGAAACCAAATAGCCCAAGCAATACCCAGCCAACAATACCTAGTGGAGAAAAGACAGTCTCTTTAATAAAGAGTGCTGGAAAAATTGGATATTCACATGTAAAAGAATGAAAGTAGGCCCTTATCTTACACCACTCTTGAAATTAACTAGAAATGGATTAAAAACTTAAATGTAAACCCGGAAATCATAAAACCTCTAACAGAAAACATAGGAATAAAGCTCCTTGACATGGGTCTTCGCAATGATGTTTTTGGATATGGCACCTAAAACACAAGAACAATATCACAATTAAAGTGGGATTGCATCACACTAAAAAGATCCTGCACAGCAAAAGAAATGATCAAAAAATAAAAATAAAACCTGTGAAATAGGAAAACATATTTGTAAATCATATACTTGATAAGGGCTTAATATCCAACATATATAAGAAACTTACACAACTCAGTAGCAAAAAAATCCAATTGAAAAATGGGCAGAGAGGATCTTTTTATTTTTTTTATTCTCACCTGAGGACATTTTTCCATTTTTTTTTTCAGACAGAGTGGGAGGGAGAGAGAGAGAGAGAGAAAGAAACATCGATGTGAATGGGTCACATCCAGTCGCTGCCACCCACATGACCCAACCAGAGCTGGGGACAAACTGCAACCGAGGTACGTGTCCTTAGTGGGAACTGAACCCGGGTCTCTCAGGACCTCAGGCTGACACTCTAACCACTGAGCAAAACCAACCAGGGCCAGAGAGGATCTTAATAGACATTTTCCATATAAGTTTTTCAGCCCTGGCCAGTGTGGCTCAGTTGGTTGGGTATTGTCTTGTGCACCAAAAGGCTGCAGATCAATTCCTGGTCAGGGCAAATGCCTGAGTTTTGGGCTCGATCCCCAGTAGGGGGTGTGTAGGAGGCAGCAGATGGATGTTTCACTCTCACATTGATGTTTCTCTCTCTCTCTCTAAAAATCAGTAACAATATATTTTTTAATTAAGGTGGGAGGGAAGAAATAAACCACAGAACTTATATGCATATATGAGAAACCAACGGACATAGAAAACAATACTGAGAGGGGCGGGATCGGAAAGGGTGTCAATGGGGAAAAAAGGTGAAACATCTATAACAAAAATAAATACATTAAATAAAATAAAAATAAGATATTCAAATGGCCAATCAGTACATGAAAAGGTGCTCATCATAACTTATTAAGAAAATACAAATCAAAACCACAATCAAATTATCATCTCATGCCAAATAGAATGACCATCATCAAAAAGACAAGAGATAAATGCTGGCAAGGATGTAGAAAAAGGAACCCTTGTGCACTGTTGGTGGAATTTTAATTTGGTACAGTTGCTATGGAAAACAGTATAGAGGTTGCTCAAAAATTTAAATATAGAACTACAATATGATCCAGCAATTCTTTCTCTGGAAATACATCTGAAAGAAACAAATAGATCTATGTCAAAGAGATCTGTACTGCCATGTTTCCATATTCATAACATCATTATTTATAATAGTCAAGATATGGAACAACCTGTGTCCAACTGATGGACAAAGAACACACACACACACACACACACACACACAATGAAACACTATTCAGCAATAAAAAAGGAAATTCTGCCATTTGCAATAACATGAATGGAACTTTGGGGCATTATACTAAGTGAAATAAATCAAACAGAGAAAGACAAATAGTGTATTATCTCACTTACATGTGGCATCCAAAACAAACATTAAACCCAAAGTCATACAAAAAGAGATTAGATTTGTAGTTACCAGAGGCAGGGAGGGGTTGGAGAACAGGGGAATAGGGTGAAGGTGTTCAAATATACAAACTTCCTGTTATACGATAAATAAATACGGGAGATGTAACATACAACATGATGATATAGTTAACACTGCTGAATAATATATCTGAAAATTAAGAGAGGAGATCCTAAGAGTTCTCATCACAAAGTAATATAAATTTTATTTTTTTTCTTTTTATTTTAATCTACATAAAATGAAGGATGTTAACTAAATGTATTTTGGTAATCACTTCACAGTATATGTAAGGTAAGTCATTACGCTATATACCTTAAACTTATACAGTGCTGTGTGTCAATTACATCTTAATACAATTGGGGGGAAATTAGAGTAGACTCTCAGTGCTGAGAAGAGAAATATATCATTAATCAATCAAAACTTGATACTTTTCTCTTCCACATGAAAGAGTACATGCTTAATTTAAAGCAGGAAACCCTCAATCCAATACAAACAAGAATCCAGAAAAGGAAAAGCTTGAGAAACTAAAATTGTCATAGCAATTAATCTACAACCTTGGAGAAAACACTATTTGAAAAGCACAAATAAACTCTCATCAATTCTAAAACATAAACATTTCTGCTAAAATATTATGTATTCATTCCTTGATATGTCCTTTTAGGCAAAATCAAGCACCAGAAATAACTAGGCTGAGAAAGAAAATATTGTAGAGGTAAACTACACAAAAACCTAAGCAACTTTGAAACCCATCCTAATAAAAATAATGTCTTAATAAGTCTTAGCACAGCCAAATCCCCACTAGTATTTTCACCTAGCACCACAGTCCAACAATTGTAAATGCTGGCACTCACCGTCCTCCTTTGACATGTAGCTCCTGGAGGGCATAAATTCTCAAAGGTGATATTTCATCACAAATTAAAAATCTGATATTTACAAATATTTGCAGCTTCTTCATCAGCACCTGCAGCTTCACTAGATACATGAACATTGTAGAAAGCACAAAGATTCTTGATAACATTAAATCCTTCAAAACTGACTCCAAAAGCAAGGTACTTCTGTAGAATTTTTAGCTATTTTTTCTTTCTTTTTTTAAAAATTATTTTTATTAATTTATTTTTGCTACAGATGTTTCTCCCCCCCCAATGACACCCTCCTCCCCATCTCCCCGCACCCTGTCCCAAGCTTTGTTGTCTATGTCCATTGGTTATGTGTACATGCATATAAGTTCTGCGATTCATCTCTTCCTCCCCACCACCTCCTCCTGTGAGGTTTGTAAGTCTGTACCCCACTCTATGTCTCTGGGTCTATGTGTTCATCAGTTTGTTTAGTTCATTATATTCCAGAAATAAGCGAGATCATGTGATATTTGTCTTTCTCTGCTTGGCTTGTTTCGCTTAGGATAATATTTTCCAGGTTCCTCCATGTTGTCTCAAAGGATAAGAGATCTTTCTTTCTTACAGCTGCATAGTACTCCATTGTGTATATGTACCACTGCTTTTTCATCCATTCGTCTACTGATGGACACTTGGGCTGTTTCCAGATCTTAACTATTGTAAATAGTGCTGCTATGAACATGGGGGTACATATATTCTTTCTGATTGGTGTTTCTGGCTTCTTAGGGTATATTCCTAGAAGCGGGATCACTGGGTCAAATGGCAGTTCAATTTTTAATTTTTTGAGGTAACACCATATTGTTTTCCATAGTGGCTGCACCAGTCTGCATTCCCACCAGCAGTGTAGTAGAGTACCCTTTTCTCCACACCCTCACCAACACTAGTTGTTTGATGATTTGTTGATGGTGGCCATTCTGACAGGTGTGAGGTGATACCTCATTGTTGTTTTCATTTGCATCTCTCTGATGATTAGTGATGTTGAGCATTTCTTCATTTGTGTCTTGGCCGTTTTTATGTCCTGTTTGCAGAGGTGTCTATTGAGCTTCTCTGACCATTTTTTAATTGTGTTCTTTGTCTTCCTTTTATTGAGTTGTAAGAGCACTCTATATATTTTGGAAATTAACCCCTTATCTGATGTATCATTGGCAATAATGTTCTCCCATACAATGGGTTGCCTTTCCATTTTGATGGTTGTATCTTTTGCTGTGCAGAAGCTTTTTAGTTTGATGTAGTCCCATGTGTTCATTTTATCCTTTGTATCTATTGCCTTAGGTGATATCTATTGCCTTAGGTGATGTATCAGTGAAAATTCTGCTGCATATGATGTCTGAAATTTTGTTGCCTACATTTTCTTCTAGAATTTTTATGGAATCATGGGACACATTTAAGTCTTTTATCCATTTTGAGTTTATTCTTGTGTGTGGTATAAGTTGGTGGTCTAGCTTCATTTTTTTTGCATGTAGCTGTCAAATTTTCCCAACACCATTTATTGAAGAGGCTGTCTTGGCTCTACTGTATGCTCTTGCCATCTTTGTCAAATATTGTGCATATTGTCTTGGGTCAATTTCTGGGTTCTCTTAGCTATTTTTTCTTAAGACTTAATTTATTGCTAAGGTCTTCTCTTTAACAGTGAGAAAACTTCTGATTGTTTCAAAAGCCACTAAATTGGTATTAACAAATGGAACATCTGGTTTATACTTACATTTCTCTATTTACCAATCCTCTATGAACTAGTTTGTGACATACAAACTGCTATATGTTGTTGTAACAGAAAGGTATATTCTAATTTAAAGTCTTGATGCTACTCCCCAGATTATTATAATTTTATTATACCTTTGCTGGTTTGTTTGTTTTTTAAATACATATATAGAAAATATGTATTTATACATATGCAATTCAAGCATCTTCAAAAAGAATCTGAATGTTATTGTTTTACCTCATTTCCTAGTTATATAAATTTTCAAATGCTATTTTTAAACAGTAGAATATTAAGAAAGGATATAAGTAACCTAAAATTATCAAACTTTAATTCCCTTAGAAATATCTATGTTGTAAACTAATGTTTAAAATCCTATATACATTAAAACATATTAGAAAGATTTCATAAGAAAGTATTTTATTATGAAAAGAAAGATTTCCATACATTTCTACTACTTAGGTAAACACTATATGTGGTTTTGTTTTTTTTTTTTGAATGCAGGAAACAGCAACACATTTTTGTAGAATCTTTGAAGGAGAAAGATGACACTCTGGTCCTCGGATGTTCTGCAATCCTGCTGGTTGAAACAGAGAAGATTCAGTTACGTACAGTTTCACATAAAGACTAGTGTATAGATTTTCACAGATACATGTACTTAAGAAATGTATGTAGAATTATAAGAACTCTCTCCACTTTACATTTGTTTCTGCCATATATGGCCGCATATAGGGCAATGTCTACCCTTACACACAGTCATTGACTAATGTGAATGACAACAGAGAAATTGTCATTTGTTCCTTCTCTCAATAGAATAAAGAGCATTGTAGAGAAGCTTTTGTTTTATAACAACCGGATCTTTATTCCAATATTTGGAAAATTGCTATCTAATTTGGATGGATGTACAAAGATATATGAAGTAATTATAACAAAAAGGTTTTTATTGACACACATTGAAGCTTTAAAAATTCCACAAATGTTTGACACATTTTCTACATCCAAATTTGAATATTTCTCCCCATGAAATAATTATTAATCATAAAACTAAATATAAAAGCCCAAAAATGGACATCAAGTTAGGTATCAGGTAGTCTTTATCAATGAAATTCAAGTCAAGATAAAAAAGAGAGGTATTATGTATTATACTGAATTGTATATCTACTAAAATTAAAGGGCCATGGAAAATAAGTATTGTAAATTGCAAACTGGACAATTGACCAGAGAAATTTTCTAAGAAAACCTCTCCATGATCAAATAAAATGTTCATTTTAAAAGTTTAAAATAGTTTTTTTTGGAAAATAAGTATAACCTTAATTTAAAAGTTTTGTTATATGAACTAGATTGACAAATTTTATTTTTAAAAATTAGTGAGAAATAAACATCCACAATACAAGTGAAAAGTAGCAAAAATAAAACATAGGAAGCCTAAACAATCCAGTATAACCAAAGGCCAATAACTAATATATACGACATCACTGCAATCAGAACTGACTCGTGTATTTTCCCATTTTCACTTCATCCTTTTCTTCAAAATATTATTATTCTATTGAAACTATTAACTGTGCATATTAGAAAATCTTTTTAAAGTTCAAAACACAAAAACTATATTATATTTGTTCTAAAAAGATAAAACATAGAATCATATGAATCATATAAATTTATTAAAATTGAAATTATATTAATTATTTTAAAATTTATTAATATAATAGTCCACTGATAGACTGACCATGTATAATTCTTACACAATGATGTTCCTGTTATAAATCAGTTATTTTCTTCTTTTTTACTTTTGGGTTCTTCACAGGCATAGAGAAGATAGCACTATATTTCTTTAATAAATATTTGTATAGGAAAGATGCATTAGCAGTGAAGAAGATAGTGAGTGCTTTGCAAAGGAAACCTAAATAAAAAAATAAAAAAAAATACAGCCATCAGAAGTGTCAGTTTATTTAAAACAAAAATGTTTGTGGAAAGAATGTCACTTACCAAAGAAAAGGTAGATATATTTCATCTCTAAAGGTATCAATTTCTCAATTGTAGAATGTAATTAATGTTATAAACATATCAGTTATTTAAAGATTTTTTTTAAACACTTACAAAACCTTTTAGGTTTCTTAAACATGGAGCCCAAGAGAAATGCAAGAAGTATTACTATGTCACAGAATGTATTAATTCAAAATCAGAAAAATGCACTTCCCCCTTCAAAACTCAACTAGCATTAGGAACTGGAACCTGTTTAAGTCATTTCATGCAGCTTTACTCGTCTTGAAATAGTTATCATTTTCCAAACACAAACAGAAATATTTTAGAAATGCTAATTGAGTGTGTAGGGTTTTAAAATTCATTTTCATGTTTCAAGCTTCAGAAAATTAATATTGTACAAGCATTATTTAAAAGTACTTGAACTTGGTATGTACATAACCATGTTGATTAAAGTGAAAAATATTTCAGAGCAACAATATCAATTATCTGATAATATAAATTATAGTGGTTTCAAAAGACAAAATAGAAAAATTAATGAGTATATGTCAATTACAATGATACAATATTTCACATATTTAATTACTATAGCCAAACACCACAAACAACATAAATGTAGCATGAACAAGGATAAGCTATAGTACATGCACAAAAAATTTTAAAACATAATCTACTGCTATAGAATAATATGAATTTTCCAAAAGCATAACATTAAGCAAAACAGACAAAAACAAACAAAAGACCCCAGTATATACTGTATTACATTTGCATAAATTTCTAGAACAGGCAAAATCAACATATTGTAATAGAAATGTGAAAGGGCCCTGGCCAGTTTGGCTCAGTGGTTAGAGCGTCGGCCTGCGGTCCGGAGAGACCCGGGTTCGGTTCCCGCTAAGGGCACGTACTTCGGTTGCAGTTTGTCCCCGGCCCTGGTTGGTCGTGCGGGTGGCAGCCACTCGATGTGTCCCTTCACATCGATGCTTCTCTCTCTCCCTTCCTCTCTCTCCCTCCCACTCTATCTGTACAAAAAATGGAAAAATATCCTCGGGTGAGGATAAAAAAAAAAAGAAATGTGAAAGGTTTCTCTGTGGAGGAGGAAAACTGACTGGAAAGGAGCATAGGGGAAATTTCTATAACTTATTTTGGGTGCTGGTTCCACAGGTGCATTCAATTACCAAAAGCCATCAAATGAATGAATACTTAAGATCTGTATTATGTAATTGTATATTAATTACAAAAAATATCTCAATTTTTTTTTTTTAGATTGCTGCTTGATACATTCTTCACAAATCAAACACAGTGTAACCAGCATCTGGATAAATAATAAAACCCCAGTAGCTTTCTTCATGTTTCTTTAAATTTATTACCCCAAAAGGGTTAGTTTTGTTTGCTCTTGAAATATTTCCTAGCAGGTCAAAATTATGCAAGTGGAATCATACAAAGCATACTCATTCATGTCTAGTTTCTTTCTTTCAACTTATGTTTGTGTGATTCATCTATATTTTATGTAGCTGTGTACTTTTTCTTTTCATTGCTGTATAACATTCTATTGTTGATTTTATCACTATTTATTATCTATCCCATTCCATTGTTTATTGGCTTTTTGATCATCTAATTTTGTGAAATTTCTTTCAATTTTTTTTTGTCAACTTTTCTGTTATCTCTCCTTTGCTTGTTATTTGTGGGAGTTCTTTTTCACCTTTTTACCTTTTTTACTGTCTTCTGCACTGCAGCTGTCTTTTCTACCTCTTAACTATTTGTTTTGATTAGAATGTATTAGTTTTAATATAGTATGATTTTTCTTTTATACTTAGTGCTTTTTGTATCCTGTTTATGAAATCTCTTCCTACACCAAGGCCATGGAGATATTCTCTGGTTTTCCTCAAAAAGCTTTATTGGTCTATCTTTTACATTTAGATACACAATGAATTTAGAATTTATTTTGTATATGATTTGAGGTAGGGATTAAGATATATATTTTTATATATGCATATATAAAATGAGCCCTTAGCTTTTCATTAAAGACCGTCTTTTTATCATTGCAGTGTCTCCTTTCTTTTCCATAAATTAGTTGTGTGTACATACATGGGTTTGTTTCTGGATTCTCTGTTCTGCTCCATTAGTCAGCATGATGACACTTGCATCAATACCCTACTGTACTAATTATTATAGCTTGAGAGCAGGTTTTGATATCTGCTAGTATATATCCTTCACTTTTGTTTCATCTTCAATATTCTCCTGATAATTCTTGGCCCTTTGGCTACCATGTGAATTTCAATTTCCTTGTCAATTAAAAAAAAACTTCCCTTCTGGGATTCTGTTTGTGATCACTCAATGCTACAATTTAGGAGAAGTAGACTTCTCTACTCTTCCTCTGTAAACATATACATTTTTTCATTTATTTACATTTTAATGTCTCTGAAATAAAATTTGTAGCTGTCAATATAAAAGTTTTATACCATTTTCAGTAGATTTTTTTCTTGGTACTTCATTTTTTTATATTATTGTATTATTTTTGTATTTGGTTGTGCCTGGTATATGGAAACACAATTGATATTTGAATATTGACTATTAAGCAACCTTACCAAATTCAATTATTTTTATTTATTTATTAATTTTTTAAATCCTCATCCGAGGACATTTTTCCATTTTTTGTACAGACAGTGTGGGAGGGAGAGAGAGGAAGAGAGAGAGAGGGAAACATCGATGTGAAAGGGACACATCGAGTGGTTGCCACCCACACGACCCAACCAGGGCTGGGGACAAACTGCAACCAAGGTACATGCCCTTAGCGGGAACCAAACCCGGGTCTCTCTGGACCACAGGCGGACGCTCTAACCGCTGAGCCAAACCGGCCAGGGCCAAATTCAATTATTAATTCTAGTATACTGTATATCTTGATATGAATGTTAATGACAGGTATGTTCCCTTAATGAAAATGTGTTTAGTTACACATTTATAATATGTTATCTTTAGTGAATATATATGTAATATATATTTTAGTAAAAATTCTACCAAAAAATAAACAAATTCAATGAAGTGGTAAAAATGGCAAGTTAAAAGAGGAAATACCTGCAAAAGACATAAATCATCTCTCTGGTGTAATTAAAGAAAGAGCTGATCCAGAATCATGGATGTAGGGAACAGACTGACAAAACTCAGAGGGATGGGTGGTGGGAGGGGTGAGAAGTGATAAACCAAAGAATTTATATGCATATATACACAACCAATTGACAAGGACATTAGGCTGAGGGAGGCTGAAGAGGGGTGGGAGTGGGAAGGAGGGGATCAATGGGGGAAAAAAGGGGACATCCATAATACTTTCAACAATAAAAAGTAATAATAATAATAAATGTCTGAAAAAATAAAGTCTATTTTCATTTATACAAAAAAGAGAACTGAATCGCTAAGATGGCTGCGAGCAGGACCAGAGGGAGGGTGAGTGTATGAGAGAGTGAGCGAGTGTGTGCGAGAGTGTGAGTGGACGTGAAAGTGGACGACCAAACCCCTGCAGTGCAGACGTGGAGCAGAAGATTCCTGTGCTGTGGACAGAGCAGCAGGCTACCTCGGAAGTGGCCCTTCAGGGCGTTTCTCCTGCGC